TGACCTCCACCTATTAAATGTCAGTGATACCTCCACCCCCATCGTTGTGACAGTTGAAAGCACCATCAAAAAGAGCAGGGGCATCGTTGTACATGGTAACTTATGTTTGGCTGGACCTGGGTGGAGGAGGCTGGTGAAATGGACCATGGAATCACACTCTGTACATATATAACAATCCTCTGCATATCTTTATAGAGAGTACAACTTCCTGTTGAGGTTTTGCTTTACATTTTTCAGATTCCCTCCAAGTTCCCTAAAACCAGTATCCGTTTGATTTAACCATAGGGAAAAGTATAGCCCTTCAATGTTTATTGCTGGAGGTTGCAGGTATGCTGCAAGAAGGGCAGTTGTAGAGAAAAACATTTCATCCTGCAGTACCACAGTACAATATAGAAAAAATAAAGTTCTAAATGGATAGACTAATAAGAGAATGTAGTATTTAGAAAAACTTGCAGTATTGTTGCCTATTCACTACATATGTACAGGGGAAATATAGCATAATTCACTTTGAATCAGATGTTAAGCAAAGAGCCTTTCCACAGCTAATTTTCTTGGCTCTGTATACTCTGTTGTAGAAATAAAGCAAAAATGATTAGAAGATATTTACAGGGCCTGTGTACGATATTATGTTTTAGTATTGAGCAAAGAAAAACACTAAAGTTTGCAGAGAATGATTGAACCTCAAACTTTTTGGTAGTAGAAAACATTAGAAAAATAGAATTTGTTGAGGTTCAAGAATGGGATGGAATTTTGTTTGAAATGGAAACTATGAGCTGCCTAGAAAGGAATATTTAGATATATAAACTCAGGCACCAGAAATCAAGGACCGGCCAAGTTATAGTACACCTGGCCTCGTCTGTGTCGATCATTATAGCACTTGCATATTGCAAACCCCAAAGGCTTGTGCTACGTGTGAGATACCATGACCTGAGTAACACCCACTGTAACTCAAAGCAAGCAAGTTTCTCGTGGCACTGATTACATTACACAGCTGAGCATTTCTGCCCCCACCCACTGTTGCACTATAAAAATGCCTGCCTCTTTGCTAAAAGCCTCCACTTGCTTGAGAAACTTCCTTTTGTGATTTGTAGACAGGGCTTATGTTACTGATGAGATTGAAAACAGATTTCATTGTAAAAGTTTATGATGTTCCAGTCTGTTCAATATGTGTACAGTTGGAGGAACACATCCCTTCTTGTCCATAATTTCTTATTTGATCTTCTCTTGCCCACTGTCCTACTCTTTATGCGTCCACAGACCCCCCCCCCCACCTCATATTCACATACCTGCAAACCTGTCCATGATCATCCCCAAATAAAGGGGCCTGGTTACAGGCTTTAATTTCTGATGCACAAGAAGGCATTAAAGTGAATGTCTCCTGGGGATATTTGTTATTAAAACAGCTTTTAGCAAATGAACCAATCTAGCTAGCCAGTGAAATGAATTCTGACATAAGTTTTATAGTTATATAAATCCTTTAAATCTAATCTCTGAGTCTAGATTGCTTCCTGTAGCTGGGAACTTCTGTAACCAGCAAAGCAAGAATGAAAGCAGAATCACTGTTGATGGGCTTTCCGAACTTTTGTCCAGTTTTTGTAAATAATAGTTTCATTCTGGATTCAAAGCAGCACCTGCCCCAATTAATGTGGAAATCTCAAGGTTAGTCAGCTAAAGCCGTTCCTGCTTTTTCACCTGTTTCTTTCCTTTGTATTCATTTGTTCACCAGATCAGCCCACTCCTGCCTTGAACCTAGACACCTTCCTTGATGGCTGCCCCTTCTACTCACAGCTGACTCTGTTCCTTTAGCTGAACCAGTAGCTATTCAGTAGTTCTGGGTGTTTTGTCTTCATTAAGCTTTTCTCTTCCCTCACTAATGAGAAAAGAGATAACAGGTTTTTCAGGCTCCTCCTTTCCTAACGAATGTAATCCTGTTTTACTCTCACTCAACACCCTGCATTGTGAATAATGTTAACATTTTATTAATGTATTGAAGTATTTATTTATATTTGATCAGTGCTCACCATATTTCTCCATATCTCTAGAAGTCTCTTGGGAAAGATCATGCCCTTTTAACTGTCTAATAACATGCATACTGAGGCACTTGAAGAAGGATCACTCACGATCAAATGTCACACTCAGAAAACTTTAATAGATAAGCTGTGAGCTTTTTGGTGTGTTCTCCAAGAAGATTAGCTGGTGGTATATAATTGAGAAACTGAACTGTGGGAGCCAAACTGTGGGAGAAGATGAGTAAGGGATGTGACATATCAGAGGTGAGATGATGAGATAGAAAGCCTTTCATCCGTGGACTTCAGAATACAGTTGACAGACTTACCCTTAACGAGGGATTTGGAAATCTCTTTAAAAGAGTTGGGAAACGAAAGCAGAGGCCCCAAAAGACCAGGCCGTAAGGGAAGGCACAGGCAACAGAGGAGCATGCACTTCTGAGTTCGGCAAACATTTCACTTTGCTCCCTCCCACAGTGCTCTGTTGAGTCATCAGGGCAGGCTATAAATAAGGAAGTGGCTTATAGGTCAGGACTCAGGAAGATCTGTGTAGCCTCACCCCAGGGTTGCTACACCTCTGTCATTGAAATGACTTTAATGCCAAAGGAAAGAATAACACTGATTTAAATCACTATGAACACGTCTCGCAAATTAGGCATCCTTTCATTTTTCTAAGTCCCATTAACCAGGGCTTGGAGCAAGGTTGTTCACTATGAGAGTCTTGTTTCTTCTACGTAGTTTTCTTATCACTGTACCTAAAAAGAAAAAAAAATATATGGTATAATTAAAGGAGCTCCCAGGCTGGGTGCAGTGACTCACACCTATAATCCCAGCACTTTGGGAGGCCAAGGCAGACGGATCACCTGAGGTCAGGAGTTCTAAGACCAACCTGACCAACATGGAGAAACCCCATCTCTACTAAAAATACAAAATTAGCCAGGCATAGTGGCACATCCCTGTAATTCCAACTACTCGGGAGGCTGAGGCAAAAGAATTGCTTGAACCTGAGAGGTGGAGGTTGCAATGAGCCGAGATCGCTTCATTGTACTCCAGTCCGGGCAGCGAATGAAACTCCATCTCCAAAAAATAAAAATAAATTTAAAAAAAAAAAAAAAGAGGAAGGTCCCAAGAATAACCAAAAGTGTTAAGGAATCAAAGGACTGACAAATAAGACTGTTCTCAAAAGAAATGAGACATTTAGAAAATCATATTAAAATATATTTAGCATTAAATTTACCATTGTAACCATTTTTAAGTGTACAATGTCATGACATTTACTGCATTTATACTATTTTGCAACTATTAGCCACCATCTATCTTCAGAACTTTGTCATCATCCCAAACTAAAGCGCCTGTACTCACTGAAAAATAACTTCCTATTCCCTAATTCCACAGCCCTCGACAACCACCATTGTACTTTCTGTCTCTAAAATTTACCTATTCTAGGTACCTCACGTAAGTAGCATCATATAATGTTTGTCCTTTTGTGACTGACTTATTTCACTTAACGTAATATCTTCAAGGTTCTGTACATATTGTATGTAGATTCATCTGTTGATGGACATTTGGGTTTTCATCTTTTGGCTATTTCGCACAATGCTGCTGTGAACATTGGTATACAGTTATTAGTTTTAATTTCAGTTCTTTTCCGTATATATCTACAAGGAACATTTCTGGATCATTTGGTTATTTTGTGTTTAACTTTTGGAGGAACCCCGGAAGTGTTTTCCACAGTAGCTGTACCATTTTACATTCCCACCAGCATTGCACAAGGGTTCCGGTTTTTCCACATCCCTAGCAACCCTTGTTATCTTCAGGTATTTTGTTATGATAATGGCCAGCCAAATGGGAGCAATGTGGTATAAATGGGGTCTTTTCTATTGGGAGTAATGATCTGAGAGTGGAAATGTAGTCTAGAGTTGTAAAGACTTCTGCTAGGAAGTACACAGACATGGTCACCAGAATCTAGAATTTAAGAATTTGGGGTTGGGCGCAGTGGCTCACACCTGCAATCCAAGCACTTTAGGAGGCTGAGGCAGGCAGATTGCTTGAGCCCAGGAGTTGGAGACCAGTCAGGGCAATGTGGTGAAACCCCTGTCTCTACAAAAAATACAAGAATTAGCCAGGCATGGGGGCACACGTGCACCTATAGTCCCAGCTTCTCAGGAGGCTGAGGTGAGAGGATCACCTGAGTATGGGGAGGTCGAGACTGCAGTGAGCTGTGATTGCACACCTGCACTCCATTATGGGTGACAGGGTAAGACCCTGTCTCTACATAAATAAATAAATAAATAAATAGGCAAGGAAGGTACTCAAAATATTTAACAAATAGAGCATGGCATAGGTACTGATTATTCAAAAAGGCCCCCGGCACTTCGCCTTCCTGAGGTGTACAGATAGTCAGCCTCAGTGAGGACCATATTGAGGTAAATTTGGAATAATGAAAGAAGTGTTTTCCCACACTATTTATGTCACCCAGTGATAGGGACATAAGCTCAAGTATAAACAGCTTCTAAAAATATTTAGATATTTAACTAATGCATGGTTAAGAAAAAACAAGAAGTCTGTGTGATGAACCCTTTTCCTTTTGAAGTCGATGTTAAAGAAGATGATTGTGCATCTGTTCCTGCCTTAAGTTAGCCCACCGTCTTGCATTTGAAGCTCTCTGAGCTCTTCTTGTAGGTCTTCTGGCAATCACAGGGGAGTGAAATTGTTATTTCAGTTGTTTAACATCCAGCAAATATATTGTACATTTACCATGTGCCAGGCCTTACGATATGTGCTAGGAAAAGAACAGAGTGCAAAGCAGACCCTGTCCTTTTCATCATGGAGCAATGGTTTAGTGGGGCAGTCAGATAATATCACACAGTAGATTTGTAATTCCAAACTGTGCTTGGTTCCATGCAGGAAAAATACCCAAGACATTTATCTCCTTTCCTTTACATTGTTCATACAACCACTCACTCTAAGTAACCTGAGTGCTTTTCTCTTCAGGAGCCTCCAGACAGGTGGCTTTGCCTGGGAAGGAGAGGTAGAAAACAACGTGTACAGCAAGGCTACAGGGGTGGTCCCCCAGCACAAGTATCACCCCACAGCGGGCAGCTACCAGCTCCATTTTGCCCTGCAGCAACTTGAGCAACAAAAACTTCAGTCCCGGCAGCTCCTGGACCAGAGTCGAGCCCGGCACCAGGTAATTCAAGATAAGTCTTTTCCATGTTAATATCTTCCTGCTGTTGGTTTTTGTTTTTGTTTTTGTATTTAAGGGTGAATGAATGAGAAATGTAGGATTAGTTTTCCAAACCCATGCCACTCTGGCTTGGATGGCTCATGGGGGAATCTACTCTTGAGGAAGAACTGTTCTGCAGCCATAACATTGGCTTTGCTTGAAGGTGATGCTTAACCAGTGTTTGACGTGGTTTCTTGATTTGAATGTTGCTATGCAAAAATCTCTATTGTAGTGTTTCCCCTTTCTGTTGTATGATCTTAGTTTAGTAACCTCTCATCGGGTCTGATTCTAAGATATCTGAAAGCTAGCATTTTAATCATCTTTATTTCTAAATATTCTACTTTCTTGCCTTGATATACTTGGCATACGTAAGTGAAATTACTCATTATCTAAGATTTTCAAGGAATAAATAACTTGAAAGTTCTTTTGGTAGGAAATGGGTGTAGGTTAGGCTGCAGATCTTCTATAAATGATAGCTATTCATTCCACGAATGTTTACTGTGTATCTATTGTGTACTAGGCACTATTTTAAACAGTGGGGCTATAAGGTGACTGTACACACAAAAATCCTTGCTGTTGTGGAACTTACGTGTAGGGAGATGTTGATTCACTACTCACTGTCTGTAAAATACCAGAAACTCCTGAGTGTATGTGTGAGGGAGCTATATAAGTATATTGCACTAATATATCAATATGGCCCCAGTTGTACAGAACAGAAAGAATGACCTCACCAAAAATTCAGGCCACAAAGAGTTAAATTTTTCTTGGTGACTCAGGATCATCATTAGAATAATTACTATGTTTCCACAGTGGAGTTATTGGACTGAATTAATACTGATTCTATAAGCTTTTCTGACATTTGGTTATGTGAAGAGATAACCTTTTCTCAGTTTGAGCTCCTGATCAATCATTTTTTTCTTATAAAAATGTAATATATAATGTGCATGAGTTTGTACAAAATTATTATTTACTCAAAGACTAAAGCAACATTTACCAAAGGTTTTTTCCTCTAAATAAAACAATTATTATTATACTCTGTGTGTTACCTTTTCAACTACTACGCATAACAAAATGTCATTTTGTTATTTCAACATAGTTCATCACTTGATCATCTTTACCTGCAGCAGTATACTCTGTACATTACATTAATTCATCATAATTGAGAAATTGTAAGTGCAGGCATTTGCGAAGTAGTTCTTTAGACCCTTTTTACTGGAGAAAATAAGATTTCTTAATCTGGAAAGCATAGAGTATAGTATCTCATTGTAATTACCATATCGCTTTCTATCATGTAAAATTTTCTTCATTTAGAAAAGCTTGGGGATAGTAGACACGTTTAAGCCACTTTTCATTTTCACAACTGCAGATACAAATGTGTGTCTTAGTTTTTGCTTAAATTTGTGTTCTTAGATTTCTTAAAGCTTTTTAAACTTTAAACTCCCTGTCATTCAGGGTACTTGAGAATGCCAACTTAATCAGTTACTGGGTAGTGGAAGTATCACTGTATAGCCTGAGGTCAAGTTATATACATAGTGATATGTATATCAGGTCCTTGGCTCATTACCTGGACAACAAAATAATTTGTGCACCAAACCCCTGCAGCATGCCATTTACATTTATAACAAACCTGAACATGTACCCCTGGACCTAAAATAAAAGTTAGAAAAAAAATATCTCTGACTCTATTGAATCTAGACAGTTGGTACTTTTTTTTTTTTTTTTTTTTTTTTTTTTTTTTTTTTTTTTTTTTTT